TTTCTTGTGGAGCTGTCAAATTATGTGTCTGTCAATGTAAAGTACATGTGTCACGTTGTACTTTAAGCATTTGCATATCTGTCACTTTTGTCTTGAATTTTCAAAGCAATAAACAGTAATCGGGTACGTGCTCGTCATTATTATTAATCAATTTGTGTACAGATATTTGAAATTTTATTATTACATTTTCAGTGTATTATTAAATTAAATGTGCCGTGAAAAAATCTTGGTTTAATGTTCCCTCCAGAACAAATGGCCTTAATATAAAATCCATTGCTCCTAAAATTCATGATTCGATTTTCATCTGTATTATTTTATTATTATACTTATTATTATTTATTATTATTATATAATACTGTTTTATTCACCTCAAAATCATTTTGCATCTCCTTTATTCATGTGCAATTTAGGAGCAATGTAGATTTCATGTGATTGTAGAAATGTGCTACGGTATGTACAAAAATGTACCACGGGTTGAACATTTTTAAAATCACGTTGAATCTACATTGCTCCTAAATTGCACATGAATAAACGAAATGTTTTACATTAACCACTAAATAAGTAATACTTAAGCAACTTCATGCTACTGCACTGATCCCGTAAATAGTACTTCAGACTTTCAGTTAATAAGATTGTGAGAATTTCGATTTTTTAAAATCTATTTCAATAAAAAAATAATTATTATTCCTTATAATCACAAGAATAAATAATAGTATTTAAATTATACCATGGAAAATGAAATGTCATTTGATCGTTCACTTTTGCAAAGAAGGTTATGTTATTTAGGAGCAATGAAATTTGTACATTCAAATGGTGAATGCGTTAGATTCATGTTTTATTGCCGGATTTGTGCTGCAAATATAAATGACTTTAGTCTTCATGTATTTTTCAGTTTATTACAGTCTATTTATGTTCCTCGGGATAAAATTTATCCCGAGGTATAAAATTTCTGTCCGATTTGGTATAAAATCAATTTATGTTGACAGGGATAAATATTTTTTACCTCAAAAATTTGATCAGGCTAACAATACTGTTAAATAGAGATGATTTTCAAGCTCTCTGACATTTAGTTCGTTATTTTTTTCATTACTCAGGTTCTTTTGCTTGGATTTTATATCCAAGGTATAAAATTTATACCACCTGGGGATAAAATTTATACCGATATTATATTTATCCCTCGGATTAATGCAAGTTATCCCCCGGAAATTTACGACCATGTCGGGACATGGTCGTAAATATTTATCCCGGAGGTGTCAGATCGATCAGAAACAGATATCATTTCTAATCACACCAACACTTATGACACGTTTAGAAACGTCCAGAAAAGTTGAAAAAGGTTGGGAAAAAGTGTTCTTAAACGATTTTGTACGATTTTGTCGTATTAGTACTTTACCAAATTGAACATTCGGCTCATATTTTATAACCGTCAATACATTTGTTGACAGTTTTGCACATTAGATAATATTGTGATCACTCTATCTGCCGCATTGACATTTCATGTGCTACTACATCAATTGCATTCTTTCTTTTCGCCTTTTCATTCGTGAAATGTGTGAGTGACACACGCAGACAACTACAACAGCATATAGGAGTCAGATGAAAAAGACGCATATTATAGGAGTTGTCGGTAAGGCAGAAAGAGATCACAATAATGCTCAATGAATAGACTGCGCCTCTTTCGACAAAAGTTGACGTATTTTGGGAGCAAATAGCCTATTTGTTTCAGAATCATGAGAAAAGAACATTTCAACCAGAACTGTGCAAAAACCTTTGATTGGGACCTGGCGCATCGTGTATATCGCCTCGAACAATTCATTTTAGTCATTTCTGAGGGAATATACACTTTTTACTCGCTGCTATCGTATTTTTTACCATATTTATTGCTCCGTGACCTTAGAATTGAACTAATTTAACACAAATAAACAATACTAAATCGATTTCACATCGATTTTTGATCATTTTTAGCAAATTTTTGACAATTTTGTATGGGTGGTACCCGTAAACCCTCCTTCCGAATAGCTTCAAACTTTCTCGCATTTCATTTTTCGGCGAAAAAATGAGATTCCGAAAGTTTCATGCTGATCGCATTTGCACAAGTTTGGTTTTGGCCCAATAATTTTATCTGAAATTTCCTTGAACTTCTACTTCGGTTATAACATTTCAATGCGAATTCCCAATAAACTAATAAACATAATTAGACCACATCAAACATGTGTTTTCCGATGGCTGAGCATCTCAGCATTTCGTATGGGCCAAGGGCAGTGTCAAACCGGATCTGGTCCATCCTGAAGATCCACTTCCAGAACTGGGAGCAGTTCTGGTCGATCCTGAGGATCCACCAAAACCCACTTCCAGAACTTGATGATTAAGATTATTAAGATTGAATGTTGATAAATTATCAGGATTCGATCTTGATAACTTCCAAAAGATATTATTAAGATTCATCCCATAACGTTATTATTTGAATATAGTTAATATCCTGATAAAAAGTTGATAGCGTTATTAAGATTCCATCATAATAACGATATCGAACGATATTTTTAGTTTATTACGATATCTTGATAAAAAAAAATCGTGAGCACAGCTATAATCCCAAAAAGCCTAAACTTAAGGATTTTTCGATGAAAAATGGATTTTTTTGAGAGTTGGAATCGAACCAATCGAATATGAGGGTAGAGCTATGTGAAAACATGACTCGATTTGGTCGTGTAAGTATCCAAAATGTTCATAAAGGATTATACTAGATGTTCAAAGGCAGAAAAGATAGAAATCGCTTGCTTTTATCTGTCAAACCGAAGCTCATGTTCGTGATTTGCTCATTTTGGTCTGAAATTGGTCTTTTATGTCTGAGTCAATTGACGCCAAATTCCATCCAAATCGCAATCTGACAACTAACCAAATATTTTTACAGGTTCTGGCTAAACGATACAAGTCAAAGACTGAACAAAAGTCTACCATCTGGATGACTTATATGGGTCAAATGTAAAAAATGCCGAAAATTTGAATTTTTTTGGTCATTTCACACTGTAATTGGCCCAGAATGCATTTTCATGGGCTAATGTCTTGGCAAAAGTTATATATATTGACGAGATAAACAAAACCCTATCATCAGATTTTTCCGAAAGTCGTTTGGAAAAATTATTTTGGTCGAAATGTTGCGATCTAAAATGGCTTCCGAAACGAGTGGAATGAAAAAATGGATAACTCTTTGGAAAGTGGTTTTTTCTACGTTTTCCAAGTTTTTGATGTCAAACTTATTTTTTTTAGGGCAATTTTCGAAATTTATATGAATATCTCAGGAAAAAAAAATCTGGACCAGTCTAACATCACATGCATCTGTATTATGAATTTTTTACAAGAAAACCACTTCTGCTTTCATTTACATACAACGAGAACTATTAAAACATTTATTTTTCATATGTTCAGCATGAATTTTTGTCCGAGGGATAAGTTGCGATTTTTATCCCTCGAAATTTATCCCTCGGTATAAATTGTATTTTATACCCCGGGATAAATTTTATCCCGAGGAACATAAATAGACTGTTAGTAAAATAAAAAAAAAATTCAAATTACAAATTTAACTCCCATTCTATAATAAATTAATAAATAGCTATTGGGATTTGATGAACAAAACCGGTACTCTCAGTGAATACTTAACAATGTACCGTATTACTGAGTGCTCAGATGACAGACATTGACAGACACTCTCAATCTCTCGTGTCACTACCTATAAAAAATGGATATTTTATGAGTTATGGTCGAAAAATTGAAAAAATCGTCCATTTTTTCGACATTTTGCTCCACAGCACCTACTAGATGTGATTTTTCATGTGTAAAATGTTTATAAAATTTGTTTAATGAACTCTCAGCCACAACTTTGCCAAAGACAGTAATAAGCTATCACCAAGAACGAACGATTTATTGACTAAAATTTGACATAGTTCATATCGCCGAAAAACCATGTTATTGAAAAAACGCCTATGTCGAAAAAATGAGATTCCCTGCCAATTCGGCAAAACCCAGCTGGGGTTTTAATCATCTATAGGTCTACTTTCGTCCCCGCGTAGTCACGGTCAAGTTCTCTTGGGGCTGTTCCACTGTGTAAGTGAAGAATACAATATCATCATCATATTAATTTATTTAATTATTTTTGACAATATTAAAATGATTTATAACTAAATCTTGTGAAACAGACATTTCCAACGGTTAAAACTACATTCCATATAGTGCTTACGATAATAATTTGATGAGAAACATCAAATTAATTAATCCCCTTAAATTTACAAGCTTCAAGAACGCAGAGCGGAGCGAAGCGACGATCTGCGGTCTTGTTTCACTCTCTCATGAAAAATGTGAATTTGGAATTTGGTTAATTATGTTTTTCGTGAAATCGATAAGAGATAATAAGTTAGTGTGTTTAGCGAAGTTTTGAAACTTGATCAATTCTATAGCTTCGTTCAAAATAACATTTCGTTATCTCTTATTTTTATTTTATTTGCAAAAAATACTGAAAACTACATTAAAAATTTACATTTTTCATGTCATGTTTTTAACAAACAATTTTCATTTTGCGCTTCAGTTCAATCATTCTGTACTTCCATTTTTACTATCAGCAATACAACGGTATGGTTTCTCGTCGCTGTCGCCAACTGGTGCTAGCAATCGTACTACAAACAAAATCCCCAAAATCAATGTAAAATTAGTCAACACAAGAGTGAAAAAGTACATATAAAGAGTTTGTAGTTCACTTGGTAGCAACAGTTGGCGCTTCGAGGCTTTTTTATATGGGAACTGTCAAGAAGCCGTAGAGTTGCAGCAACACATTTTGATTGACTAATTTGGTTTGATTAAAGATTATAGTGAAATTGAAGATTGTATAGATCGAGGAAATCGTTTCCGAACAACAGCCAGCACCAAAATGAATGATACAAGTAGCAGATCACATGCAATTTTCACTGTAAGTCCTTTAAAGATATCTTTTTTCGGACACTTTCACAGTAAAAAGAAATGGGAGTGACAATCACTGTGGTCATTTCCAATTTATGTAGTGATTTTTCTTGCAAAGAAGATATTAAAAAAAACTTTTTTCGACAAAGACAAAATACAACTGAAAATTGGCTACAACCTTTTTGTTCTTTTACATCAATTTAAGTTTCATTCATTTCGTTTCTTACTTTAAAAAAATTTAGATAACATTTGTTCAAGCGATTTTCATGAATAATACACCTTCGGAAACTGTCTCCAAAATTCACTTAGTCGACCTAGCGGGGAGTGAAAGAGGTAGATTATTTATATTAAAAATACATTAACATATAGACGATTGGTAACCGGTATTAACCGGGTCAAAGTTCTGAATCGACCGCTTCGATTTTGCCCATATATGGTGTTTAATTTTGATATGACCATAAACTCTCAAGGTTAGGGAAGACGATCCCTTCACAATATTAGGGGAGACGATCCCTTCTCATCTGAAAATTAGGGTGTCCTGCATTTTCTGTGACACTCTGTTTTAAAAACTGATCTTTTTTTCGACTGTGTAGTTTTTTTCTACACAGAATAGGTGGTCTGAAGATAATGTTGTGTTCAGATGAGATGCTAAGTAGAATCCAACGAATCAGAAAATATCAATGATTAGAGTCGTCCTGAACAGACTCCACCACAAAAATACATCCTTCACCGAAAATCACTTCTTTAGGGCACAACTCCTGTTTTATTCACAAACCCCTGATTCGGAAAGCTCGTAAAAATCCTACTTACTGGCATACGGAAGAGAATGTGTGAAGAAATCGTACAATCTCACCAAAACTGTCCAAAAGAGTACAGAACACCTATTTTTCGACTCATAATGATTGCATTTTCGAATTTTTCGTTGAAAATTATTCAAAAAATGATCGGTCGAGTTTTTGGCCATACACTAAATATGAGCGGAATTGGAGAAGTCGATTCAGAATTTTATAGCGGTTAGTGTGGAATGGTCGTTATAAATAAATAGATCTTTTTGATTCGATAGTTAAAAATTATATAACCATAAATTTTTGTTTGATAATAATCATAATTTTCAATGAAATATGCTGATAACAAGTATTTGTTTCAAAAGCCAATGCAACAGAGGCAACAGGTGATCGGCTGAAGGAAGGCGCACACATTAATAAATCTCTAGTTAGCCTTGGAAGTGTAATTTCAACGTTAGCTGAACAAGCAACAATATCATCGCAAAAGAACAATACAAAAAAGAGAATATACATTCCTTATCGTGATTCTATTTTAACGTGGTTGTTGAAGGACAGTCTTGGAGGAAATAGCAAAACCATTATGATTGCTGCCATATCACCCGCTGACTGTAACTACAGTGAAACACTAAGTACACTGCGATACGCAAACAGGGCAAAAAATATAATAAATAAACCGACGATAAATGAGGATCCGAACGTGAAATTAATAAGAGAGCTACGCGAAGAAATCATGAAATTGAAAGGAATGCTATCGTCAGCTGATATTAATGATGTTTCGCAAAGTAAATCCTCGCAAATGCTGGAAGATCTACTGAAAAAGGAAGCACAAGAAAAAATTTTAACAGAGGAATGGGCCGAAAAATGGCGTCAAACTCAAACGATATTGCGTGAAGAGAAAACATTGGGTCTTCGAAAATCTGGATTCGGTGGAATTGTTCTAAATTGCGATGCACCGGTAATTTAGTTTTTCAGTTTTTTTTTTTTCGTTCAAATAAATAATTTCAAAAAAAATATTTCTAGCATTTAGTTGGAATTCATGACGCTAACAGTACAGGTGTTACTTTATATAGTTTAAAGGAAGGGGAAACTATTATCGGGAATGAAGAAAAAACGATGGATAAAGTTGACATTGCTCTTATGGGCACTGGAATACAACCATTGCACTGTTCAATAATTTTGACGAACTGTACAGCAAAAATTTATCCTCATGTAGGCGCACAATGTTGGTTGAATGCCAATTTGGTAACATCACCACAATCCATAAGTCAAGGTGACTTCACTTTTTTGGTCATTTACTTATACATAAATCAGATTTTCTTAGTTGTGGACAACCAATATTTGTACAAATCCAAACTATAACTATATTTATGCCCTAATTGTGTACTCACAAAAAGATCAGGATTCTTCATGAATTTTCTTGGATTCATTTTTTCTGCAAAAACCTAAATGTTCAGCCAGTACTTGGGGGTGTGAATAAAAAAATATAAATACGAATGTCCGAGAATGAAAACGCAACTTCTATTCAAACACATATAAGTGAAACAAAAATAAAAAATTTATTGAAATGAAACAACACAATCGAATTTTTTCAAAGTGTAACAACAAAGTGTTGTTACACTTACTACATACCGATGTTACACTTTAAAAAAATCTTTTTTGTTGTTACACTTTGAAAAAATTCGATTGTGTTGTTTCATTTCAATAAATTTTTTATTTTTGTTTCACTTATATGTGTTGTGAATAGAAGTTGCGTTTTCATTCTCGGACATTCATACTTGTCTCTGTTATATTTTCATAGGTGATATTCTGCTATTCGGCAGAACGAATATGTTTCGATATTGTAATCCTATGGAGGCTGCGAAATTGCAAAGCGGAGAACCCAACAAAACGGATCTATCACGTTTATCATTGATAGCAGCTTCACGTGAAAATCTGAGTGAAAATAGGTAATTGGAATATTTTTAAAATAAGTATACTTGTAAATATATGCATCGTCAAAAAATGTCCTATTTTTTCAGCGTTATTGCCGATGTTGATAGTCTGGAATTATCCTCGTTTAGAAAACAACGATTGGAAGATATTAAGGAGCACCGAAAACTATTGGAAACTATCGAAAATGCTTTGCACAAATTAAATTTGGTTGATATTCTATTCTTATATTTATCGCTCGAATACAATTTTTGGCCTGTAGTGTACTGTACATAATGATTGCTACCGCATTCAAACTGCTGAGAATATTCGCTGGTATTGCGCTTTGCAGAAATATGGATCTTGGTCAAATTTTGAAAATTTGTATGGCGGCTTCATCTTAGAGGCCAAATTTTGATGTTCTGTGTATATTTTTGTATAATTTGGAGTTTGTAATGACTGTGTGCAAAGCCTCAGAGTTTGTACTTTCAGGCCTGAGTACAAACTCATCAAAGTTTAAAATTTGTCAAATTTTGGAAATTTGTATGGCGACTCTATCTCAGCGTCCGAATGTTGATGTTATGGGGTCATTTCCGTTTGTTTTCTAGTTTATAATGGCCATGTGTAAAGTCTCAGAGTTTGTACTCTCATCAGGCCTGAGTACAAACTCAATGACATTTTTGTATGGGAAGTACTCAAAATAACCACTTTTCAGGAGTTTGTTTAAGGCAAACTGCTATTTTTTTTCGAAAGTAATTGGAGACCTTGAACAACTGAATACCTGATTCCCCAAAAATTTTGTTTAAAAGTGACATTTCTTCATAAAACAAGCAAATGGCTGAAGAAAACTCACTTATGATGGACTGATGTGATTCTATTTCCACGTAATTTTTGACGAGAAATCAATTTAGCTCTCACTCGACCCATGATTCAACGATTCACGGTTTGACAGGTATGATTCGATTCAAGTAAGAAGATTGTCTGGCAGGTTGAACGATCTGAGTTTCAGAATCAATCTTTTGAGGTTAACCGTTAAATCTATCAAACGATTTGCTGAACCGAACTGAAGTCCGTGTAAAGAATGTCCACTTGCGCACCAGAATTTATGCCTCCCTGGGCATAGTGGATAGATTCGGTGAAATTAGATGCAGTAGATCTGGACTTCATGAGGCTGTGTTGCTTTTTGATGATTTTGTCCTGTATCAATGACAGAAATTGACATTCACCAAATGCTCAAAGATAGATTTCAATCTTTGATCTCGTCCCCTTTTTGAAGATGGGTGATACACTCGAACGCTTCCATTTGTCAGGGAAATGGCCAGTTGACAATGATTCGTTGGGAATCTCGGTGAGTGGAGCCGCCAAATGACTCGCACAGTTTTTCAGTATCAGCGGGTCAACGGCATACCATCGGGACCCGTGGCTTTATTGGTGATTATGGCTTGTAGCTCGGTGGCAGATTGCTGCGACTCATCGGTAGACGATCGCTGAGCGTCTTGAGTCGTTGAGTCATCATAGTTGCTACTGAAGAAATTAGCAAACAGGTTGGCCTGTTCCGTTTGGTTTGCCGTGCGCACATCAGCAAGTTTCATGACTTTTGGTTTGTTGTCCGTGCTCTTCTTTGAATTGAAATATTGCAAAAAACTCGATGCATCATGCTTGATCGAAGATTTCATTCTGTCCACGTATGTGGACGTTGTACAATAATTTATTTTACTCATAAAAACACAGGAAATATGCCCATTGGTGTAAAAAATGGTATTATCTGTATGACATATCGAGTGAAAGCTAAATTGATTCCTCGCCAAAAATTACGTGGAAATAGAATCACATCAGTCCATCATAAGTGAGTTTTCTTCAGCCATTTACTTGTTTTATGAAGAAATGTCACTTTTAAACAAAATTTTTGGGGAATCAGGTATTCAGTTGTTCAAGGACTCCAATTACTTTCGACAAATAATACCAGTTTGCCTTGACCAAACTCCTGAAAAGTGGTTATTTTGAGTACTTCCCATAGAAAATACAAAATACAATAGTACCGCTGTTGACAAAAAAAAAATCAAATATTTGAGTTTGTACTCAGGCCTGGTGGAAGTACAAACTTTGAGGCTTTGCACACCGTCAGTACAAACTCAAAATCAAACGAAAATGGCCACAGAACATCAACATTTGGTCTTTGAGATGGAGTCGCCATACAAATTTCCAAAATTTGACAAATTTTAAACTTTGATGAGTTTGTACTCGGGCCTGGTGAAAGTACAAACTCTGCGGCTTTGCATATTGCGAGCACAAGCTCCGAATGAAATGAAAATTACCTCAGAACATCAAAATTTGGTCTCTGACATGGAGTCAACATTAAACTATTTCGTGGTTTTTTTATTCCCAAAATTTGACAAATTTTAAACTTTGATGAGTTTGTACCCAGGCCTGGTGAAAGTACAAACTCTGAGGCTTTGCACACAGTCATTACAAACTCAAAATTATTATTGACTAGTTTGTACTCGGACTGGGTGAGAGTACAAACTCTGAAACTTTGCACAAGGTCATCACTAACCAAAAATCATATGAAAGTGACCCCAGAACATCAACATTCGGCCTCTGAGATGGAGCCGCCATAAATTGTTTTAATTGTTTTGACATTTTTGACTCTGCCGAGTTTGTACTTGGGCCCAGTGAGAGTACAAACTCTGGAAAGGCTAATGCGAATTGAATCATAGAATTTGTTATAAAATTTAAAAGGCTATCATGTGCCATCATATGCCGGTTGAATCGCTACCATCGCCACAAACAAAACCGTTATGAGTCTGACTTTTTTCAATACAAAATGATCCGTAAACATCTTCTAATGAAAAAAAGTTAGAATAAAATTGTAAATTCCATTTCTGAACACACAGTTTATTAAAAAAAAAATATTTGCATCAGTAGAAAAACTATAATTATTCCACAGCAAATGATTTCCATTTGAAGTTCGAAACTTTGCAATCAACAGCGCCATCTTACGTAAGTCAACGGATATATACTCCGGTCGCCATATTGACAAGTGACAAATGTATTGTCGTTTCACATTTCAAGTGGGAATCGTTTGCAGTGAAATAATTGTAGTTTTCCCAAGTTTTATTGATGCAAATAAAATATTTTTTATAAACTGTGTGTTGAGAAATTGAATTCACAACTTCATTCTAACTTTTTTTTTATTAGAAGATATTTTTAGATTATTTTGTATCGGAAAAAAATCAAATTCATAACGGTTTTGCTTATGGCGCTGGTAGCACTGCGAACTTATTTTTTCGTTCAACATCAACCGACTGAAATGATACCTAGCGGATATGCTGGCCCTTTAAATTTCATCTCAAAATCCGCAATGGTCTTTGCATACGGTGAGTACAAACTCCCCCGAGTCCGAATCTGGAATTGGTTTTTCATTTTTCCGACCGGAGGGGGGGCAGGGACATGTAGCTGATTTTTAAGGCCGCTTATATATGCAGTCAAAAAGACTGCATATGAATGGTTTGGAGCGAAAATGTAATACAGAAAAGTTGAGCGGAAAAATGTCGATGATGAATGAGCGGAAAAGAGATAGCTATATAGTAAACTGTATAGCAAACTATAGTGAACTATATAGCTATCCCTTTTTATTTGACATTTTTCCGCTCAACTTTTCTGTATAACATTTTCGCTCCAAACCATTCATATAGCGACACCCGCTATACACAGACGGATTTTTTTCGAGAAACTGCATTTATCCGCTATCGCTATATGCAGTTAAAAAAGATTCTTCGTCTTTTGTCTGCATATACATAGATTCCGACACCAAAAATTTCAGGGGGGGTCAAACATAAAATTCATTGTGGGGTCGAAAAGATCAATTTCATCTAATGTAAAATAGCTTTCGGAAAAAAGTGAAGACCTAAAAAATCAACAATATGCGCTATAAATGGAAAATATTCAGCAATGCATGCTCTAACGGCATCTATACGGTTTAGTTTGGAAGTATAAAAAATGCAGAAATGCCTGTAAGAAATGACATTTCAAACGTTATTCATGATTCAAGTCAGTGAACTTCCGATAGGGACAAAAGCAACTCTGAAAGGTTTTAGAATCATAAAATCATTCTTCAAAATTCAATAATGGTTCAAATAAATCGATTCTATCTAGTGTGAAATGTTCCCTTCGGAAAAAAAGTGAGGAGCCAAAGATAAAGATCCAAAAAATTTCGTGGGGCGTCAAATTTCACCAGCAGGGGTCAAGATCAACGAGATCAGACTATGTCAGAATCTATGTGCATATAGCCGCTAACGCCATATGCAATCGATTTTTTTCAGCCCTGGGAAAGTTCATTGCGCGCGCGCCATCTCTTTTTCAGTGCTAAACAAGGTGCCTTACTTCCGTAAGGTAAAATTTTCTACACTCCCCTATACATTGTGACATAGCAGAAAAATTGCGTACAGCGTACAGTGTACCACGCACCTACCCTACGACCCCAAAAAACGCTAGATTTCGCGAATTCCGGCGTTCAAAAGTGGGTCAAAATATCTGGGGCGATCCCAATACTTTTCTTACACGACATGGTCGATTGGAAAAGTAAAATAATGAAACTTGAATACTCTAAATAGAGGGATATTCATTTTTGATCACTTGCATATATATTAAATCTATGGGTGAGATTGAGATTAGTGTATGTCACACACTGACTTTCTCAGTTCAATTATCATTACACATTCTATTTCTGAATTGAATGTTTCCCTTTCACTAAAGGAATATGAATTTGTTAAAAACGCAACGCATACTCGTTAGCTGTTGAGCTCAGCTAGATATTTTCAGTTAGCTAGCTGATATTAGCTAAATATATTGTCTGGACTTTGTTATGAAAGAGAAGAGTAAGTTTCCTTCGACTTAAAAATGGTTAAAGGCAGGGATCGAGAACGATTTGATTTTTCTTATACAAACCAATTTCGGAGCGGTTTCACTGCTTTGCTCTCTGTTCATCGGAGCAAACCGTATCAAGCGGAACGTTCTGAGAATGGTTTGTGTGAGCAACGTTCAAGCGTGTTGTCGTATACTAATACACGTAAGCATAAACGTTTCTGTGTGCCATACAAAACATTTTTCAGAAAGTTTCGAATGGTTTGGTTTGTTCACACACTCAAACCAAATATTCGGTTTGGTTTGGTTTCGATCCATGGTAAAAGGCGAGTATGTTCAAAGGCTGTCCTGCCATTCACCGATTTTAAATCAACATAGCTCGTTTTATTCGTTGCACGTTGTAAAACATTTCATAGAAGAAATTTTTTTGAAAAATAGATTCTCCGCGATCAAAATTGAAGAAAAAGAAAATAATCAATTGAAAGGTTTCACATTAAACGGGCAAGATGGCGACTTCGAATACATTTCAATACTTTCATACATTGCCGAGTAGCATCTATGCGATACTTCTTACTCATAACGAAAAAACTTCGGACGTCCGGAAATTCTACGGACGTCCGAAATAACTTCGGACGTCCGAAAAAATTTGAAAAGTTCGGACAAAACCCCTTGTCCGTCCGTCCGTCCGGAAAAAAATTCGGACATTCGGACCGGACGTCCGAAAAAATTTTTTGGTTTTCGGACATTCGGACCGGACGTCCGAAAAAAATTTCGGTTTTCGGACATTTGGACCGGACGTCCGAATTTTTTTTTCGGTTTTCGGACGGACGGACACTATTGTCCGAATTTTTGTCCGTGTCCGTTGACACCTCTATCACACAACACATCATTGATTTCCACCAGTTTGGTGAAACCACGATTTCGCTCCAACACTTTTTTATATTTCTCGTGAAACTCTTCTTGTTCTAAATATTCCAAGTTGTTTTCCACCGATGTCATAATTTCGATATTCTCGGCCAAAGGAAGACCTTACGTTTCAAGCTTGATAATTGAGGCTACTACTGATGCAAAATAACATTTGATGTAAGCCAATTTCATAAGCAAATGCCTCCAATACATCTCAAAGCAATTTATTTATTTCGAATTGTGTCGCATGCACAAAACCTAACCGTCTGGTTTTGTTTACACTTTGCTTTCAAAAGAAACATAAACTCTAAATAATATTCGTGTTGATCGCCAATTCCCATTTTTGGCAGTCTAGTTGTCAGCCGCTTGAGAATACAAAGTTTTATTTTGTCAACATCACATTCTACTGAACGGAGTTATGAGTAATGAGTAATCCGATTCTGTTCATAAAATCGATAACTAAAAATGAATTATAATGAATGTTGACTGTCTTGCAAAATAATCATTTCGGCTTATTTTTCTCTGAGTCAGTATTATATGTTACCGTTTTTTGGATAAAGAAATATAATGAGAATGTAATAGTGCTATTTCGTGTTGATTCATGTTGTACAGATGTTTTATTTGCTTCAAAACGCAATAGAAATTAATTATTCTGTCTAAAATAATGTTTCAGGCTTTTTCTGGCTCCAATCCATGAAATAGGCTCGATACTTCAAAATAGGCCAAAGCCTAGGCTTCAGGCTCGAGCCTAATTTTATCTTCCTTGGTTACTAATAAAGCATTTCAACGTATGCTTGTGATTGAGAAATAAACAAAGAAGTTAACTAAAACCAAATGAAAAAAAGTTAAGGAAAATTGGAAAAATTATTTTTTATTTATTTATTTACACCGCCAAAAACCGGCTAAATATTTTGGTTTGCAGGAAAACGACTCCAAAAATCGTGAAAAACCTGATTTTTTCGTGTTTGTACAATACAGCACACTCAATATTATAGCGACATCTATTATTAAAATAGCTTGTAGTAAACGCATTCATAGCATTTCACTGTGGTTGCGATGTTACCAATTAAATTCCCCTGTGGTATGTAGTTAAAAAGTGTCAACATGAATGTGTCAGTACTACAAGGGAACTTAATAGGAAACATCGCAACTACAGGGAAATGCTATAAATGCATTTACTACAAGCTATTTTAATAATAGATGTCGCTATAATATTGAGTGTGAGGGTATTTTCATACAATACTTAGTTATAGTAGTTTCTTGATTGGAATCAGGGTTTGGTCTATAAAATTTAACACAAAGAAACCTAACCAATACATGTAAATGAGTAGGAAGCCGAATTGTCAAAGGTTCAAGATAATCTAACAACGCGTTTACCCTCGGAAGGACCCCTGGGTCCAGCCAGACCTTTTTCATTTTTGATCGTTAATTTAACATATTTCTGATTTAGCTAGCGACTTGAGTTTTAAGTTATCTGCCTGAAATTTCATTGACTATCGATCTAGCAAAACAAATATTAGAAAAAGTCCTTAAAAAGGATGACATAAGGATATACAAAAACTACACCTTCGAACGGACCCTTCGGGTCTGGCTGGACCCGTATAAATTTACATGCATTTGTATAGAAATAAGGTATGCATGCCATCTCATTTTTCGCGAAACTGATAAGAGATAAGTGATATATCTCTTCAGCAAAGTTGTAGATCAGGTCAAGAGCTACAGTTTTTTTGAAAATGTCATCTCCTTATCTCTTATCAGTCCCGCGAAAATTGATAAGAAAAAACTATACATTTCCGCGATTTTTCGCGTTTGATAAGAGATAACGAATTAGTGTCTTGGGAAAAGCTGTAGTACTCAACCTGTTCTTCAACTTTGCTCTTGACAGTTATCACTTATCTCTTATCAGTTACGCGAAAAACCGCATAAAACTGATAACAGGATAATGTTTCTGACAGGGATTTTGATTATCATTTTTTGCGTAACTGATAAGTGATAACTATCATAAGCAAAGTTGATGAGCAGGTTGAGTACTACAACTTTGCTCAAGACACTAATTCGTTATCTTTTATCAAATACGCAAAAAAACCACGGAAATTTTCAGTTTTTTCTTATCGATTCGCGGGACTGATAAGAGATAAGGAAATGACATCTTCGAAAAAATTGTAGCACTTGACCTGATCCACAACTTTGCTGAAGAGAGATATCACTTATCTTTTATCAGTTTCGCGAAAAATGAGATGGCATGCATACCTTATTTCCATACAAATGCATGTAAATGTATACGGGTCCAGCCAGACCCGAGGGGTCCGTTCGAAGGCTTTAAAATGGGTGTCCGTACGAGGGTTAAGAAAAGATAGACTAACTGGAGCGTTAAACATATTAGTGTCGGCCTTAATGACTGCAAAAGTCATCATTCAATTTATGAAAGAAGTGATATATTAAAGAAAAGTTTTTCGTCTAGTCTAACAAGTCCCTGTTGGTAGATATGAATTTACAATTTAGTAGAGACCGAAAGACATAAGAAAAATTATTTTGATTTTCGCAAATACATTGGCACAAAAGGTAGTTTCCATTATAAAGCAATAACAGGTCAAAAGTTAATCACCAACTCAAAGGATGGCTTTATCACAGTCAATGTTGCCATCCTTAAATTATGAGAATGATTTAATGATTTTACACTAGACAGAATTGATTTTTTTTCTGACCCCTCATTGATTTTTTGGTCTCACGCGGGCGGGCCCCCCCCCACATTTTTGATGTCAGAATCTATGATATCGTGTCAACAAAAAACGTGCGATTCCATACGCACATCGCAATTTTACACAATTGTCTTTACTATGAAAGTATTTTTGGAGGTAGATAGGTCTTGATTGAGATTTGTGCCCATTTACATTGCCTAATATGCAGATACGAGCTATAAGCAATTTTACGTGCATTTTAAGTGGTCCGTATGAGAAGATGTCATGCAATTTTGCGGAAAAAAGTATTCACTTTATTCAAACCAGTCTTTAATGTTGCACATTGACTGTGTAGAGTTATGATGTCCCACTTTAGCGTAATAATTTTTTCAAGATTTTTCTGTAAAACGTCCAGCGAATATTCCCAACAGTTCATTTCTCATTCGTTTTGAAACTCTCCAGTCCATCAATATTTTATTTTAATTGGGTAGGAACGGAACAAAATATTCGAACAGTACAGCCTTAAAGTGCAAAATCTCTCTAGAAAATTGGTTGCTTTAGAAGGAAGTAAAGCTGATGAAGATTCGGTATTGAACTGTTACGAAAAGCTATTGATTGCAAAACGTGAGATGCATAGCATGAACAAAATGCATAAGAAAACTCAAATTGATATTGCTGTGAAACAACTATCAAATTTGCAATTACAAATGGATTCAAAACAAACTGACTTGAATGAATTAACTTCGACAGAGGTATGTGAATAAATTGTTTGTTTGTTTTGGTTTGAGCCCTTAGCAAGTCCAATATTAATGCTGAAATTTCATTGCCAGCGAGGTATAAGCAAATAAAACGAATTTCATTCGTAATCCCGAACTTTTCCGTACTGTTTTCCTTACTTTTGTCTTTTTTTCAATTTTCTTGGAATAAATAAAGGCCATTTTGAGTGAAGGTTTTAGTCAAAATTTCGACAAGAAAAAAGAGAAAAATTAATTGTTAATTAGTTTAGAGAAAAAATTAGTTTCTAAAAGTTTCATGTTGATCGCATTTGCACAAGTTTGGTTTTTGGTCCCCAATTTTTTCCAGGGAAATTTCGACAAAAATTGAGGACCAAAAACCAAACTTTGAACAACGCGATACATGAAACTTTCAGAATCTTATTTTTTCGGGGTCGATTTACGCGTATCTCCCATGCAAAATTGTCATTTTTTCGAGGTTTTTCTTAGGGCAAGTACCCCAGGATCAAATCGAAAATGGCTCATCTTCGAACTTAAACTAAGTTTTTTGGATACAAAATTGATTGAATCTCAATTATTTTTTGAGTTATCGTGTCAACAAACGATTCTCGTATAAAACGCAGAAAATAAAAACGCAGAAACGCCAAAACGCAGAAAAAAAACACAGAAAAATAAACACAGAAAGACAAAACGCAGGAAAAAACGCAGAAAAAAAAACACAGAAAGACAAAACGCAGAAAAAAAAGCAGAAAAAAAAACACAGAAAGACAAAACGCAGAAAAAAAACGCAGAAAAGACAAAACACAGAAAAATGAAAAATTTGATTTTTGACTAAAATATTGGGTAAATGAGGGTTATTTTGGGTTATTTTTCCAAAATAATGGCATTTTATCTTGGCCAAAATCTCGAATAGTGTATTTTTCTGGTACCTCACATATATTACATTTACACTAGCATTTAGGACAACAACAAAGAGAGAGAAAGAAAATAAAAGGACAAAAACCATTATTCATAACACAGTGCAACATTTTTTCGGTCATCGATGCGGGCATAAGTTTTGAGTATCGCTGCTGAAAGTACTTACCAAAACTAGAAATTCTGCATCATTCGTTTTGCCAACTTGGCTACCTTTTTCATTTTATGAAATTATGTATTTTTGGCTCAAACTGGATTTTGAGCACTTTTTCGACATTTTCACAAGGCTATATCTCGGTGAACCGTAGGGAATATTGTTTTTGTGTCTTGAGCAAAGTTGTAGGTATTGAATGGGAGGAAAAAAATTCAAAACATACTTACCCAAAAAAATGCATCTAGGGCCTCAAAATCGC